ATATTTGGTCAACTCAAACCTCACAGAACAACAATCGGCAAGCGACTTGGGTGTCATTCGACGCAGCTTTTTCTCCTCTTTCTACCTCTTTCTGTTTTTTGTTTCTCATTTATCAAGTTCCCCCACAATGGTCGGCCGCCTCATCGTGGCGTGGAGGTGACACTGGGTGTCGAACTGCGATGCACAGCCGAGTGTATACTCTGGCAGGGCCTCCCAAGCTGTGAAGGAGTTCGACGTTCCTGGTCTCGGCCGGATGCCTAGCTAAGAGTCGGTCAGGCCAGATCCACCGCCGTCTGGTTTTCAAGTCGCTAGGCGGTTTTCCCCGCTCTAAGCCCGGGGTCAGCGATCGCCCCATGGAAATCAAGAGTTGGCCTAGTAAGTCTGCCCTTGTAGGGAAAAAATTTCATTACTCTACCAGTTAGAAGAATAGAAAGAAACCTGCACATCGGATCCCGCTTACGGCGCCGGGTAGTAGCAAGACTGATGTCAGGGTCCTCAGGGCGCCTTTTGGATTGGACAAAAACGACACGTCTGCCCGGACGACACGCCACGGAGACTGCCTCATGCTCTGCACCTATAACGCCAGGACAGTCTCCACAAACGCCGACCTCCACGCTCTTCCCGACGCTGCAGAGCACATCAAGTAGCACATCATCGCTCTGCAGGAAACGAAGTCCAGGAAGAAGGACGTGCGACAGTTGAGCGATGAGACGCTCAACATTCGTGGTGAGAAGGTTCCATCACGAAACGTGGGAGGCGTTGGCTTTGTCGTCCACCCATCTATCGTCTACTTGTCGATTCGCACGAGATCCTATCACCCCGACTAGCCATCCTACGACTACGCCCTCCACGTCAGAAGACCATCAGCATCATCAACTGCTACTCTCCAACATCAGCAGCTGACGACTCAGAACTAGATGCTTTCTACGAAGACGTGGAGGAGGTCGTCCGCAACGAAAAGTCCTTCTACAAGTATGTTGTGGGCGACTTCAATGCGAAAATCGGGATGCCACTAGAAAAGGAATGTAGGATCGGGAAGTTTGGATATGGGCTCCGGAACGAAAACGGCAACCGTTTCGCTGGGCTTCTCTCCGCCGCACGACTCTTCCATGAAAATTCCATCTTTATGAAGAAAGAACATCGCCAGTGGACATGGGAATCGCCCAACGGAACGACTCACGCGGAGATCGACCACATTCTCACCAACCGAGGGTGGAGCTTGCTCGATGTCTCAGTAGTTCCATCCTTCTGCAGTGGCTCCGATCACCGCCTCCTTCGAGCGAAGATACGACTCAGCCGAAGGCTGGAAAAGAAAGTCTGTCACAGTGCCGCGAGAAGGAAGGAAGTCGTTTATGACGGGAACAGGCTGGAGGAGCTCATGTCAAGATATGACTGGCCCATCGAGGAGGACCCGACGTACGACTACGACCGGCTTCTGAAAGAATTGCCAGCCTGCGTGTGAGTAACTTCTGGAAAACTGACTGACTTCTGTTGGGTCCTCCTCGATGTGACTGGCCCATCGAGGAGGACCCAACGTACGACTACGACCGGCTTCTGAAAGGATTGCGAGCCTGTGGAGAGTGCGCCCCAGTGACTTCTGAGAAGAACTTGGAAAGTATTTCGAAGACCACCAAGGAATTGCTCGAAAGAAGAAGATTTCTGAGGCAGGATCCGAATGCAACCCATCTCGAGCGACTGATAGTTAACGCCAGTTGCAGAACAGCTATGCAGGAGGATCTCAGGAAGTACAGGCAAGCCAAGATACTGGAAGCAGCCGAAGGAAGACGAAGTCTTAAGAAATGCCGAAGGGACATCTGTGAATATCACGTACCGCTGGCTGCACTATTGAACGAAGACGGGACTCCAACTTCTTCCCGATACAAGATGGAATCTATCGCGAAGAACTTCTATACCAACCTCTTCCGCTCATCAACACCCGTGCAGACGCCCGTTGTTCCCACTGGAGAAGCACCACCACGAATTCTACCTGCTGAAGTGCGCACGGCGATTCAGACCATGAAGACATCCACGGCTCCAGGACCAGACCATCTTTCCGTCGAATTTCTGCGAGCCGGAGGACAACGTCTACACGAGATTCTCGCGTCGCACCTGACATCTTACCTTCAGAAGGAGAGGATTCCCGACCAGTGGAGAACGTCAAGAACCGTCCTTCTTTTTAAGAAGGGTGAACGGGAAGATCTTCGAAATTACCGTCCAATATGCCTGCTGTGCTGTACAAGCTCTTCACGAAGATTATCCTCGCACGCATATCTAGGACACTGGATGAAGCCCAACCCCAAGAACAAGCTGGATTTCGCAAAGGATTCAGCTGCATGGACCACATCCAGACGGTTTCGAGGGTCATAGAAGTCTGCCGGGAGTACCGACTGCCTCTCGTCTTAACCTTCGTCGACTACGAGAAAGCCTTTGACAGCGTCGAAACTAACGCCATCCTGTCTGCGTTAGTCGATCAAGGAGTGGAACCAGCTTACGTGAGGACACTAGCCGACTGCTACAAGGACTGTACAACAACGATGCAGCTGTTCCATCGCCCCCTAACCATTCCAATTGGGAAGGGAGTTCGACAAGGCGACACTATTTCGCCGAAGCTTTTCACCGCGGCCTTGCACGGGGTGATGAAGTCACTAGACTGGGACGAGAGAGGCATACGAGTTGATGGGAGATTCGCAGTCTTCTGAAGATGACCCGACACAAGCAACATCTAGTCGGACTTCGCAGCACGGATATGAGAAGAATGTCCCGTCTTCGTGACCCAGCGGAATACGTTGCGAAAGCGAAACACCGATGGGCCGGTCACATAATGAGAAGAACGGACGATAGATGGACACTAAGAACATCTGAGTGGATTCCTCGCGAAGCCAAACGTCCTCGAGGAAGACCTCCGACGAGATGGGCAGACGTGTTCGTGTTCGTGGAACGGATGGACCAGCTGAGAAATCAGCTGGATACGATTCTCGCCCCTGGAACTCGTGGACGCAGCCACGGACGACGACCAAGAAGATCGTGGATGTCCGAAGCGAGGGACAGGGATCAATGGCAACTTCTGTACTGGGGCCCGCACGTCACGTGAGGACGGGCCATCTAAGTATCTAAGTAAGTATTTATCAAGTTTTCCGGGATAAAATCATCATAATTCAGATTTTCCAGGGCGCCCCAGGCTGTACCCGAAATCTTCGAAAGTCGCTAATCTGAGGCGATAAACGCTCATTTGCTTTGTAAAATTAGTGCAAAACCATAATCCATCTTTGAAGCTTCAAAATTCGAAGATTTCTTGGTGTTTGATGCATTTGTGTCTGAGCCGAGCCTGCTAAGATTCGGTGGTTCCATTAAAAATTCTGTACAGAAATTATGACGAGCTCTGAAAAGTAGAGAAAAGTTGTGCTGTTTTCTGTGGGGTTTGCTCTATCTATAGTAATTTAGACTCCTTCCGGGATTTGTTATAAAAATTTAGAAAAATTGTGAAACTTGACCTTTTCAAAAAGCATGGGTCGCAGATTCTGATAATTTTTTCAGAGGTTATTCAATTTTGTGCGGTAACTATATAACCGTTAGAAAGAGAATGAAATGCTGCATCAAACGCTACCAGGATCTCTTACACATCTTTGTGATGTGTAAGAGATCCTGGTAGCATCATCCATGAGATGTGGCGTACGTATAAAAAAAGCGACATTACTTACGGAACGACTTAATAATAACGGATAAAACCTTTACAGTAACCTGGTACTTATACATTATTAGGTTGGCACATAAGTAATGCAACTTTTTACGTAACTTTTGTCTTTTTGAACGTAGCTCATTCATTCCCTATGTTTACGGTATAACTGGAAGCGTCAGGCTTTGCTGAAACTTGGTTTATGAGGTTATTCGACATGCTGGTCACAAAAATAGGACCCGTTTCGCATGAAAAGTCCTTTTTCGTAAGGTCGAAAAATGAATTTCATCTCAGCGACAAATAAATATGAATCCGTGTCAACCGTATTGGATTACCATATTGTGCAAAGTTTGAGCGAATTCCGAAGTATCACAGCTTAGTTATTGATAGATTGCCCTCCAAACTTGACGCATTTGGCTTACTCTACTTCTCTGAGATGCCTTATCTTAGGTTGTTTTAGAATTTCACTTCTTTTTCTACTAATTCTAATGTGTCAACTTCTAGCTACATGCTGCCTATGATGCCTTTATGATATGTTTGATTCAGGTTTTATACGGCTTCATGTTTGCCAGAAATCGTGAAACCTCGATTTTCAAGGATTTTCGAAAAATGCTCAAATTTTTTCTACCACATTAGCATAAATCAAACGGTTTACGCAGGCTTGCAGCTTACATTACATTCCACATGATGCCAGAGAATGAAATTGCTACACTGAGTAAGAAAAAAGTTATGGGAAAAGTTGCAAAACTTATGTGCCAATCCAATACATAAAAGAGAAAGAAGTAAACTGAAAAATCTAGTTAGCGCGTTAACACTGCCGCAACTTCCAGGCGATCACGTGTTCGGCTACTGTCAATGTTGGCAATGTATGATCTGTAGAGTATTTGTATTTTTGTTCAATATCCCCTCTGCTAAGTCTAATGAAGCAAATTGTGCTTGAGACTTTGACCCGACCAATTTCGACATTCATATTTGTTTTAAAACTAATAGAAGAATAACACCAGATTAGCTAAGCAAACAGCTGTTTAGAAGTGATATTATGATGAGGACGAAGAATCCGAACGATAAAAAAGATACAATGAGCATGTTCATACATTCGCATCAGTCACAGCTATGATTGCGAAATCGACGATAAGATCGTGATCAACTAGAAAATTCGCGCTTTGCTGAGAGCTCATAGAAGCCGGCCTCGCACAAAACACATGATGCGCGTCGACACTGCAGCTGTGCCGACAAAGTGGGAAATAGAATATAAGGATTGGGAAATAGAATATAAGGATATCTTTGCTTCACTGTGGATTTGGCTTCTCGAGCCTTATCCTTAGCTATGTTGGTATACTTAGCTATCGTGAGACTCCTCCCAGGTGTGAGCGGTGCACTAATTCGAACCGCGAACGAGGTAAGCTGCTTGATGTTCGTTTGAATTGGATAACTGGAAAGACTTATGTTCTAACTTTAGGTACAACACATCTATCATAAAGATAGGCAAGTCAGACAAGGTGTTATTTGCAACGTTTCATAGCCGAAAGATAAGGTCGATATTTTAGTATGCTTTGACAGAGTGGACCCGCGTACTGGCGTATCGGATTGTCCCAGTAAGGCAGCGCTCTGCAACAATCTAATATATCAGCAAGTAATGTGGGAGCAATGTCCTTTGACATGTGGACGATGTCCTGGCATTTTACCAAATTCTGGTGGACTTAGCACAATTGTCTCAGGCCAGTCATTGCTATTCCGGTACTCTTTCTGTCAACTACTACGGCGGGTACACGCGATGCTAGATTGCAGTGTTGATAATTTTTTAGGCACCACATGTTTCGATCGAGTGGACCCACGTACTGGCGTCTCGGATTGTCCCAATAAGGCAGCCCTCTGCAACAATCTAATATACCAGCGAGTAATGTGGGAGCAATGTCCTTTGACATGTGGACGATGTCCTGGCATTTTACCAAATTCTGGTGGAGTCAACACAATTGTCTCAGGCCAGTCAATGCTGCAGTACACGCGGTGCTAGATTGCAGTGTTGATAACTTTTAGGCACCATGCAGTATCGATAATTTTTTAGGCACCACATGTTTTGATCGAGTGGACCCACGCACTGGTGTCTCGGATTGTCCTAGTAAGGCAGCGCTCTGCAACAATCTAATATATCAGCAAGTAATGTGGGAGCAATGTCCTTTGACATGTGGACGATGTCCTGGAATCCTGTAAAACTCTGGCATCATTTTCTGAACTCAAGGAACCATTCACTATACAGCTATCGTCTACTAAACTTTACAAATGATTTATGTAGAATTTTTTTAGGTTATTTTAACTGACAACTGCTCAAATGAAAGAACATCCTTGATTTCAGAGAAATTGTGAGAGTCTATATACATTATAGTTTCTAAGTTTCTATTCCTTAGCAGGTCACACAACTGGTGTAATACAGGTGTCTTAGTGTCTCTTCATCGCTAGTAACTCGTTTGTCTGAACAGTTTTCGCGACTTTTTGGATATCGTATTGTAGAGCTGGCTTTCTCAGTTTTACAGTGCAAAACGACCACCCGTTGCTCGCTCTTCATTAAGCTAGATTTACGACGAAATTCCAGCAACAAGTCGTCACTCTGACACTGAATGTACAGCAATGCATTTGCCTGCTATTTTACAAAAGTATGCGCATTACGTATTTGTGGTTTGCAGATTTGGGTGGATCCAAAGACATTTGACAAATCGTAGCGTTCCTGTTCATGACTCCTTATCTGTTGTGTAGAGGATTTACATTACCCATACTATGATCTTATGCAAGTCAATACAAAGAGGGATGAAATGAAGGGAAAAGAAACGAGAAAAGGCTCTTCTGGCAACATTCTTCGCATAAACGTCCAGAAAAGAGGTAAGGGGAAGAGGAAACAGTGCCTGCTGGCCTGGGGTTGGCTATCTTAAGCTGACCTTCATTTCAAGCAGGTGGGAACTAGCTGCCTTCCGAAACTTCTAGCGTTGGGGCAAGCAATTTCTTACAATGAAGCCGCAGAAGTTTCAATTTGCTTCTGAACGGCATTCAATTAAATACATCCTTTCACGTTTGATTATCACGTAATGAATCGGTGCACTAATAAGCAAGAGGCTTTGTTGGATGAGGAGACGGCATGCGGCTGAGGTAAACATGGTGAGATTATGGAGATTCAACTCAGTCCGAAAAAAACTTTCACCATCCTTAGCAAATGCATCATGGAAAGATGCGTGCTTGCGTGTCAAAATTCAAAATCCATCGCACTTCAGGAACTTCCGATTAAAAGAAACTGTATGACTGCGTTCATACTGATCGCGAAGTTCGAGAACAGTTCCAGTGCTCGAACAAAGCGTTGTGCTGGGATTGTTCCCAGACTTCGGGATCAGTCTGAAGGCAGCCTCAAAGTTCTTGAGCTTTTTTTGCGGAATACGGCATTTTTATAAGTGTCCGGCAGTATCACCCTGTTTGACTTGTCACTTTGCGCAAGCAACAATTTTTCCTTGCTCCTCTACTTGCTCAAGCGCAAGATGTCGCTGAATGTGTCGTGCGCAGCGGCGTTCTCGTAAAAGTCCCTGACGATATCATGATAGTTCCGCAGGCCTGATTTGTAGATAAGAGTAGCGTTACTGTACTGCTATTCTACCCAATTGAATACGCTTGTTACGAAAACAGAGCAGATTGCAAACGTTTGCACCTCTGCTAGGCTTTGGAACTGCTCTCAAAAAAACCTCTTTTGCATTCATCATAAGGGCACTGTTTTGTAGATGAGTGTCAGTAGCGACTGCTTGAAATAATCTGCTAATCATCTACTTCTCAACACTGGTAATATTAGCTGCTACAAATTCGCAATGTAAGTCACTGCGGCATACAGTCTGCCCCCATCGCAGTCAGGCGTTTGGCATGGCAATCAAATTTGGCATGGCGGAAGTTTGCGCCACTAGGTTTTGCATCACGCTTACGTCCTGCTTGCCTGCTCTCGCTTTAATCTCTTTGCTCTCTCCGACAGCGCGCACACGAACGCAAAGTACCGGCGCTGCTTGCGCGCCACTTTAGCAAACGGTACTGCCTGATATTACTTGGGGCAGGCTGTAAATCTACACATGGCTGCACAAAACGCGCACCATGCCGCAATGCGAATTCTCGCGCCCAGAATCCTCGCTGTTGAAGCACGCTAAACACTGTGGACAGGGCCCGAGTACGCCTTTAAGTTTTTCAAAACGAAGTCCTCTCTGATTCCGTTAAAGTACGGAGTTCGCTTTGGCCTTTATCGGATTCAATCTCAAACAGTTTTGTTTGTATAGTGTTGTTTTGTCAACCAGCAATAGCAATATATATGAACATCCAGCAATTCTGGATGCCAGTGCTCGCAGCAATGGCTACACTACTGCGCAGTCTCGTCAGCGAACATCCAGACGATTCGCAAGTCGTAATCCTATGCGAAGCAATGACAATGACAACAAGGTCCCTCTATGTATGCCATTTGTATCCGACAGCTTCAGTGAGGCAGTAAACCGATGCATAGTACGAGCACAGTTGGATAATGAGGTAATGCTGGTCAACATTCCTATAGTAACATCAGAAAGCGGTTGATCAGAAATAGATTGTATGACGTAGATTGTATATCAGAAGAATGCATCGTCTGCCCTTATGGGAAACTAGGTGATTGCGCGAAGGAAGGGACTGTTTTTCAGTTGGAATGCCTGAACTGTGGCATGACGTATATAGGAGAGACGGGAAGAAGTCTAAGTGTTAGAATAAAAGAACACCTGGCTAACAAAAGACGAGGAAATCTGTCATCACCGTTAAGTAAACATAAGATCGAGACACACGATGGGAGTGATTTTAATGTGAAGTGTACAATTCTAGAGCACGAGATTGAAATTTCGGCACGAAAATTATTAGAGGCCGCGTGGATACACGCCGGAAATTCGGGAATGAACAACAAAAATGAACGCGTGACAATAACGGCCGATCTCATGCCTCTTATGTCACTACAATACCGCTCATAATTCGTCAAAAAAGTCGCCGGACTGCGGCGCACTCCGCCACACTCTGCCGCAGTGCGCCGGAGTGTGGCAGAGTGCGCCGGAGTGCGGCAGAGTGCGCCACACTCCGCCGCAGTGCGCGGGAATGATCGTCAATTTAGCCATATCTCGCTTCAGAATGGACGAATTCTGAATCCGAGGACACCGTTCGATTCAGCACGACGAGTCGCATGATCTTATATATGAAGCTAAACGTCTGTTTGTCTGTTTGTCTGTACGTATGTTCCGAATAGAAAAATCCATTTCTGAACCGATCCGGACCAAACTTGGCACACATACACTTCGGGCACCGGCGGGTGTCATAGGCTACTTTTCGTCATCGATCGATATCGATTTTATCGATTTTATCGATTTTTTTTGCAAAGTTTGAGCTACGGGGCTGGGAGTTTGCACAGGGGGGTAATCGAGCATGGGGTTTCCGAATACACTATTAGTTTTAAGGATTATCGCTTACTTTTATCGATTTTATCGATTTTTTTTGCAAAGTTTGAGCTACGGGGCTGGGAGTTTGCACAATCACAATGGTAATCGAGCATGGGGATTCCGAATACAATATTAGTTTTCAGATTATCGATTATTATTTTGGTTGAATTCAGTGTGCTGATAACAGTATCACCATTGATCTGTCGCTGATGACACATAGACAGTATACTATAGGAGTATGGTTGAGAGCCACTCTGTTCGAATTTGTTCTAAGATCTGCTCAAGATCACAATACCGCGCACAGAATGTCAAAATTTCCGTGAACTTCGCGGAATTCCGGGTTCCACCAAAGTGCGCGATAATCCGAGAGGTTCGCGACATTTCAGGATCCGCGAAACCATGCGAATCACGCAGAGTACGCAACGCCATAACATCCTTCGGAATGAATATATTCCGAATCCAGAAGCAGCATTAGGTTCAGATCGTCGAGGCAAATATTTTGATATACAGTATGCTCTCGATATTCCATTTACAGTTCTTTCGAATTTTTTCTGTGGAGGTCTTTTCGCAAGGATGTAACGCAGCGTCTGTGTAACATAAAAGATTCCAGTAGGCACTGTTCGATAGTACTGTCCTTGTAGGTTATCGTGCGTTCAAGAGTAGCTGCAGACTGTCTCCCGAAAGAGACAGAAGCGTTGGTGAATTTTGGAAAAATCACGCGTTTCTAAATTCTACTCGCCGTAACTTCCTTCGGAATGAACATATTCTGAATCCGAAGAAAGCTTTGTGCTCAGTTCATCAGGCAAAACTTTCGATATACAGCATATCCTTGATATTCCAATTTCAATATTCTCAAATCTTTCTGTAGACGTCTTTTTGTGAAGGTGTAAAGCAGCGCGCATTGCTCCTAGTAAACTCCAGCAAGGACCTTTCGATAGTACTTTCTCTGTAGATTACGTAGCGCTAAAAAGTAGTCACAGGCATCTTTCCATAGGAGTTAGAAGGGCTGGTGAATTCTGGAAAAATCATGTCGTTCTAAATTATTCTCAACGTAACTCTAAAATATGAAGCTCTCTTGCTAAGCAGATGTGATTTTCGTAATCAGCAGGTCGGATAACCCTTACAAGCAAGTTTTCCAAGATGTTCGAGTAATTTCGTTTTTTCTCGTTTTACGCTCTGAAGCTGCCCGATGGATTTTGGTCAAAATGTTCATGCTCTTAAATTGTGAGGAAACTTCGCTTATAGAGGTTTTCGAACACGCTCTTTACGAAAATCGGTGGTCTTTGAGGATTACAGGGTCTTCTTGGAGAGATACGGTGAGGTGCCTGTAACATCACGAAAGCTCGTAACTTCGCCTCCACCTCTCACGTGTCTGTCAAAGAACCTGCCTAGTACTCTGCGTTGATACCACTGCTT